TTAATTTCACTGTAGCTTAATTGTCCCTGAGATTTTTTCCTTTGTGTGAGCAAGTTGTTTCTAATAGTTTGTACATGAAATTGCTCTTTAAATTGGCAAACTAGAAATAATTTCAAATATAAATTGACAAATGTTTTCAAAACTTGGAGAAAATTTGCAATTATATGATCATTCTTACCACACTTGTGGTTTAAATTTGAATAGTATTCGGGGAAAAGAGTACACAAATTCAATATTTTTCATATGTTTTTTTCATCATTGCTAATATAAACTTCACGTGGCAGAGAAGAAAGCAGTGAGAAATTGGATCTAGTAATTTTCCTGTCACTTTCTAAAGAAAACTTTAAAAAGATGAAAGCTCTATTATTTCTTAAAGTAAACTACATTGGATTGAATAAGTCCTGGCACACTGTGTCCCGTTGACTTATCAAAAGTCAAATTTGTAGCTAGGAGCAGAGACAGGGCTGTGGCTCAGCTGTCTGAAGTCCTGGTTAACTATTTTGCTTGCTGTCCTATTCTGCTTCCTAAAGTGTTAGGGGATGTGGTTCAGCAGGGACATCTCTCTTTTGGGAGATGTGCATATTGTTGTGTGGAAGAACCCATTACTAAGAAAATAACTGGGGAAGGAAGGCAAGAATGTAGGAGGAAGAAAAGTAGGCTTTTGCTTGAGCTAAATTCTGAAGCATCAAAATGAAGAATAAATTGCTCACTGTCATCAACAAGCCAAAGATGACTCGAGAGGAGGAGGAGGAGGGAATGGAGATAGGTTGGTAGGATTAAGTCGTCTTATCCTCTAAACAGATGTGATGAAGTTCCACGGCCCATGTGCAAGAGATGTTTGGGATGGTATAACATGTTGTACTATTATTATCATCAAAGACAAAATGTTCGTCTCTTATGATAATTAATAGAAAATTAATACAGGAAGATGAAATCACGATACTATGGTTAAGGAAGCAGAATAATATGTTTTTTAAGTTCATTCATTTCAGGCTTTTGGAATTGGTTCCAATGCAGGTTCAGCTACAAGCTACTCGGTACCCTTGGCAGTGTTGCTTAGCGTCTTGTCTCAGCCTCTGGTCAGCCCCCGAAGTAAACTTGAGAAAAAGGCTCATGTGCAGAAGCTCTACTTGGGAGTGTGCTCTTATGGTAAAGGAGTAAAGAAGAGGGATGAAATATGGACGTAGTGCAAGTAGCAAATGCATGTCGTCCAGTAGTCCGCAGGATAATGCTCAATCCCACAGGACCCTCACTAGAACCTTCTGAGTTGTATGGCAGAACCATTCTTTGGGGGACTGGTAGGGGGCAGCATTCACCCAGGAACTCTCTTCCCCAGTGGTCAGAATGACCATATGGATATTAATTCCCTATGCATGTGGATTGCCCTAACACGAATACCAGTTGATTCCCACGACTACTGAAGGAGCTCAGAGGTTAGAAGCGTGGAAGATGCTGTAGGAAGCTGGTCAAAGCCTCTCTGGGGCGGTCACTTCGGGGGTGGTGGGAGCAAGTTGGGAGGCCAATAGGTGGCAGAGTGGGAGAGATTGGGCAGGATTTGGAATGCAAAAAGAGCGCCTGACACATCTTTTAATGTCAGTGTCCTCATATGGAAAATCAGCACAAGCCTTCTATATCCGGTTGCTGGAAGGAGTAACAATATTTCACAGTGCTTGGCAGGTTGCAAGTACTCTGTATTGTTAATATAATGATGTTATTAAGAAGATTAGTGTTGAATATCATTAGAAAAGTTTTAACAGTTTGATTAGCCTTATCTGAATTGCTTGAAAGCAAAAGTGTTTTCAGATTTCAAATTTTTTTCAGGTTGTGGCATATTTGCATAAATATAATGAAATATTTTGGAGATAGGACTCACGTCTGAACATGAAATGCATGTGTGTTTCACATACATTTTACATGTGGCTGAAGGTAGTCTTATACAGTATATTTAGTGTCCCTACATTTTCACCATATGACCTGTCCCAGGAAGACAGGTGTAGAATCTTCTGCTAGTAGCATACTTGTCAGTGTTCAGTTTTCTAGACTAGAGATACTCATCCTGTATCTCCAGCGACTCTGTATTTTCTCTCACTCCACTGATGACCATGGGTGTCCTATAAATGCAGACAGACATTAGTTAGTGTTTAATCTCAGCATTGAAACACAATCTTTATAGCACAAGCTCTTATCTAATATGTATTCTGAAATACAAGAAAGTTGTAGAAGTTGAAAATTGCTGTGCTGTACTACAACAATAATTTTTGTGGATTTGAAAACATATTTTCTACTTTGAGTCATTTAGACTTTTTATTTGCAGTTTTAGAATGAAGAGTTCAAATTTATTGAGTCAATTTTCTCATTTTTTTAAATGGGAAAACACACAAGCACAAGGTCCTGAGTTCAATCCCTGGTACCAAAAAAAAAAAAAAAAAAAAAAAAAAACGTTTGCGTCAAAACCAGGCAAAAAAAAAAAAAAAAAAAAAAAAAAAAAAAAAAAAAAAAAAAAAAACATAAATGGGAAAACAATTAAATTTTTCTCTATTCCCTTGATTAAGGCTACTATTTTTGCAATCATTATAGGACAATAATTAAAAGTCTTTAAATAACCATCTACTTGGACTAACTCATGTTACTGTACAAAAACATCTCTATTGGAAATTTATGTAAGTACATATCCAGATGCCCTCACTCGATTTTAAAGCCAACTCACGCATTTGAGCAGAGCACCCGAATGGTGGAGCTGATGGCCCTGCGATCACTCCTGACTGTCGGAGGACAAGAGACGCTCAGCACTTGCTCCTTTTGTCAGCTGGGGAGGGGGGCAGTGCCGACCAGTGTCTCACAAGATCTGGTGGGGTCTCCACAAGGGGATAAGGGATCAGGACCCTGGAGATGACTGTAGAGATAGCACTTTTTTTTTTTTTTTTTTACTAGTACTTACATTAGATAAATTTCCTATTTGTTGACATTTGGTTTGCCTATTTCATTTAACAGTTTCTATAGTTGTCCTTGGTATATACATATATACATCATTAAATTGGCTGGCTATCTATCTATCTATCTATCTATCTATCTATCTATATCTTCTATCTACTTACCTACCTATTTAATGATGGGCAATCCAAATCCTAGTATCTGTATCTGAGAGGAAATTTGATACTTGTGTATCTAAACATATATGTCAGAATATTGTGTGTAGACAAATAAATGCAATTAATCTTACTTTTCAGTAACCATCTGCTTCCTAGTTTATTTCATCAACACCATTATTGCAAAGATCCTTGTCCCCTTTTCCTTATTTCTCTTAAAATATTTAATGGTTTTTATGTCTTTCAGAAGATGGACGTAATACTATTCTTCTATAAGATAACAGCTTTAAACTTAGCCTTAAAGCAGAATATTTAAAGGCTTAACAGTTTAGATGAAGCTTTTCATGTTTGATTTTAAAATTACATTATAAAAGGTATTCACTGAGTGAACAAAACCCACTGGTCTCACCATCCCACTGTACTTTGATCACAAATCTGAAATGACAAGGGGTTGAATCTTGATCAATATAAGAGAGCACAATTCTAAGATGAATAGATTAATTCCAATATTTCACATCTTCTGCAGCTATAAGTATTGCTTGTTGTGATATATTTGATCAAGATTTGCAGGTAAAATACAGTATATGTACTTACACTGAAATTTTTAGTACACATATATTTAAGAAAAGCCCTAAAAATTACTTGCATTTTATTTAAAATTCAAATTTAGCTAGGCATAATACAGTTCTGTTTGCTAAATATTACAGTTTTAAATCTGGGTGCTCAAGCAAATGATCTTTTTTTTTGCAGCCAGGGATCCAACTGGGGACCTTGCACTTGCAAGACAGGTGGCAGAACCACTGAGCTAAATCCCTGGCCTGATCATTTTACTAAGTACATTTTTTTTAATATGCCAGGATGGACTGAATGGATCATGAGTTAGGAAGTCTTCCACCCGAAACAAGTAAAAGAAAGCGTTCTGGTGAATCAGTACTGTGTCACCGATTATATGTAGGATCAGTAGTGAAGGTCTAAGGTAACCAACTGATGTCTAAAATATGTTTTTTGCAATTTCAAACATGACTCTCCTGGACTGATGGATTAGTGTCTATTTGGCCCTCCCGTGCAGACCAACCTTGGACGATGGGTGAGAGAGGTGTGGATTCTTTGGAGCCGTCACTTCTGTTCAAACTCAGATGTGAGCTTGTTCACAATCAGTTCCACTGAAGTCCGTGTTTCCACCAACATTATGAAGTTCGTGATAAAGGTTTAAATTAACCCCCACCCCAAAGGCAGGAGCTGAGTGGCTCCTGCCTGTCATTCATTTATTTAGTTGGTAAGGATTTCAACATGTGGCTAGACCTGTTAGAGGCTCTTAGTGAATTAAAGACTCTTCTGTGATGTTTCCCGTCATCTTATTTTATTTTCTGATATAAAAGCATTTCTCCTTCAAATGGTAGAATTTAGTACTGTTTCACACAGGGGGGCAAAGGAAGCCTCCACTTCTCTGCTCATAATTCAGATGTCTGGGGGTATTTGTAAATATTTAGCACCTGCACCTCAATCTTTCATCTTGAAAAATCTTATTTTTATTTAAGAGAAGAGTGTATGACCAAGAAAAACAGTTTACAGTGTTCACTTGATTAAACAAAAACATTCATGGAATTTGAGTGGTTCCATCTGAAGCAGACGGTTTAGACTAATGCGGGGTGGAAAGGATGGGGAGCTGCAGAAGAATTAATGTGAAGTGTGTGATTTTGGCTGTGGCCGGGTCCTGTGAATACCGGCGACTTGAGATTTTTAAAAAGTATCTCAATGTGTTTACACAGCTGGATATTCAGTTTCAGCTCGATCTCTTTCCTTGGGGTTTCCAGGTTATTTACAAATGTGTTTCCCTCTGCTTTTTCCTGCATGCATTTTCTTTTCCAGCTTTGGGTTTTACAGCCCCAGATAGCAACATAACATTGTGAAACCATTTCTGGGAGGTTTTTACGTTGATGTCTCATGAATACTGGGAGAAAAAGAAGTCTCCAAAAGGTAAACATTTTAAAATATAGCCTTACAACTGTATCTAATCAGGGAAAGCAAGTATTAATTCTACAAAAAAACATTTATTTCTAAGTGAAAGACTGACTTTCTGAAATGGAGAATTAGTGTTGACATCTGAAATTCAGCAATCTTCTAAAATCGCAGTCCTGTTTAATGTTTATATTTTCCTCTCTGTATATCGTTTTTTTTTTTTTTTTTTGTCAGAATTCTTCAAACTTAATCTAAAGTCAGTGCGATGTAAGGGATGGAGAATGTGACATGAATTTTAAAGATCTCTGTCCTTGTCCCGGACCCGATCGCAGGCTGTTTGATTTAGAGAAGTTATTTCACCTCTGCATGCCGCAGACTTCTCTCCTGTGAAATGGAGAGCTATTTTTCAGCTGCCTTCTTCATTTAGTGTCAGGAGGCTTAATGAGATAATGTGCCGGGATCCTTATCCTGAATCATCTTCGGGGGGAGAATGAGAGCGAGCAGGCACGGGGTCGCCCCTGTGAGCGGGAAGGGGCTTCCTTTCTTCTCCTTGCAGCCACAGGGACGGTGAGGGGGTCCCTCCGTCACCACTGTTTTTGGCCAGAGAATCCACAAGGGCTTGTGCACATCCAGGATAGGGAAGGGCAGAAGGCCTGGGAAAGCCCAGAAGGGAAAATGGTGAAGTAGAAGGGGAGAAAAACAAACCGCAATCATCAAAGATGTGCGTATGCAAACATACGACTTAACATCTTCTGTAATTTGTTTTTTGTTCACTGCAGGACATTGGCCGGCATATTGTACGAGCTCAGTAAATATTTCTGGACGGACGCATTTGTTGTGAGTTTCTCTCTCCTGATTCACCAGAGTTCTTCCTGTCACAGACGGTGCTGGCTCTGCCGTTAAGAGCCTTTTTTCCTTATGTTCCAGAGGCGTCTAGCGTGAAGCAGTCCTGAGGACTATTCAGAGTACACTGAATTATTTTGGTGCCGTTGCGTCCCTGTTGTTCCCGAGCATTTGTCTTTCCCCACGTCTCTCACGTCTTTCGTTGTCTGAGTTGGTTTCCTCATCTCATCGCCTTTCTGTTCTTGAGAGAGTTTCCCCCCTTGTAAAGAACATGACATTCTGCACAAGCCTCCTCACAGGCAGGCAAGTAGACTACCTTGCAGCTGGATGTGGGTCTTTCCCTTTGGCTGACAATAAATCTGTCTGGAAGGTAAGGGAACAGCTTTGTTTTGGCCCCGGAGGGAACATGTATTCCCTGGCACGAAGGGGAAAAAATCAAACTGTCCCTATTTTCCTAAATTAAATAAGTACGTTTTCCCTCCATATACTCTCTGTTCCCAATCATTTTTGGCCTGAAGCCCACCAACCACCCCACCCCACCCCCAACTTGCCGTAGTGCGCTTTTACTGAAATTCCCACAGCAGCAGCTGCTGTCCTAACCTTTTTAAAAAGCTCTCTTCTTCTGAGGAAAAATATCTTAGTTAATAAATGTATAAAACTTGCTTTTTGCTTAGACCTGTTGTCTGCCCTTAGGGTTGCTCCATCTTCTCTGGATGGCAGTTTCATGGACCTCACTGCCGCCTGCCTGCCTCTGTGCACCCCGAAATCCATTTCCATGCTCTGCAGTGAAATGTGACCACACTTTTCTATGCCAGTTCTGCAAGTTCATTTTTCCCTGAGATCTGTGTATGGTATGTCTGGCAGCCAGGAAAGAATGAAACAACAAATCACGGGTCAGAGACTTCTGTTTCTGGTATTAAAGAAGACTAAATATTCAGGGAAGCCTCTTTCTGTATCAAATACTTAAAACATTCTGGGTTAAATATTAAATTTTATTAAAAGCATGGCTTCGGCAGTAGAGAGAAGGAAATGATCAGGGGCCAGGAATGTCCAAGTCCAGACGGATTAGGAAGCGCTAGGTCTGGCACATGCTGCAGGGTAGCATCAACAGCTGGCTTTGTCCTGATAACATAGGAACAGGAGTCACAAGAGAAAGGGCCCAGATGAAGTAGAAAACAAGGCAGATATTGCATAAAACTTAGACACCCGAGGCATAACACATTTTGAAGAAACAAACAAACAAAAAACTCATGGCAGAGACTCTGTGCCTAAGCATCCATCCTGATCTTCCGCGTGGTGAAAATAGGGAAAAAGACGCTCGAAAATTCCTAATTTTAGGTTTACATTTATATGGACTTCTCAGCTGGAATTCACACCATGTGTCTAACTTGTGCTTATTTAACCTGCAAAGAAAGTAAAAATAGAGCTTCAGATAGTCCTGGCATAGTATTGGACATTTAATGGTAAATCCATACGGCATGTTGACAGTCAGAACAAACTGTTGGACAAAACACTGCACATGCGGCTGGCCGCACCAGGCTCTATGGAAGGGTGGGGCTTTCAAAGGAGGGGCCAGGGCAGTAGGTGGGGACAGTAATTAGGACTCTAAAGGCAGCAGCTGTTCACCAATTGGCTTTGCCATTTTTCAGCCGTTTCATAACTGACATGGGAGTTTCAGCCTGGGACGTGGTAAGTCACGCAACTGTTTTCCATCTTAGCCTCCTCCTCTTTTCTAGCCTGTCTGCTTCACAGGGTTATAAAATGATGTCTGTGAAAACACTTGGTGAAAAAACAAGTAGTAGTCAATGAACGTCCAGTTTTTATACAGTTTTGCTTCGGTGTAACAGGTAATGCTTTATGGTTTGAAATAATTTAGTTAGTTCCTGAAAATGTTCAATGTGGAGGTTTCATATGATTTTCTCATCTGAATTTCTATTGGATCAATAATGTTTGCTGTTAAATGAAATGTGGTGAAAGATGGCCAGTAAAGTGTACTTTAGGGAGAAATTTCACAAAAGCATAACTCTTTCCCTGGAACAAAGCTCTCAAGAGTACTTAAAGCTGGGAATGAATGCTGGAGGTGTTAATCAGGAAGGCGACAAGCGTAATGCTGGCAGTCTCAGGGGCACACTGCTGAAGAGGTGCCAGTGTTGCAAGGAATGGCTTTTAAGGCTAACAGCTTAGCACCACTGAAAAAAGGATGGGAATTGGGTGGGCAGAAGCTGGGTTCCTCTTAAAAAAGGAAGCGAAAAGATCAAAGAGGAAATGTTGACACTCAGTTAAGGAAGAGATGTTAGGGAAAGGTTAAACATTAACCAAGAAACAAAAGATCCCTCCATTTCCCCACTGCGCAAAGAAGGCCGGATGTCACCTCTGGTACTAAGAGAGGTGAAGAAAGTCGCTTCTTTAACTGGTGATGCTTTGCCTCCTTTTGATGTTAGGAAGCAGAGTCTGGATCACAAAGGGAGGTCATCCAGGGTGAAGAGTTAAGTAGCCAGTGACCAAGGGGCCTGTGTAGGGCCGCGCTGGTCCACGCTGGGAGTTGAGTGGTGACCCAGGCCAGCCAGAGAACTGCCTGTCATCTTTGGTGCAGGCTCATGTGCGCTAGAATCTCCAAGCAGAACAGGAAGCCCGGGAATGGAGGGGAAGGTGCCAGGAAACTTGCCTCGGGCAATGGTTTTGAGTCACAAAGACTAGGCTTCTATATCAAAGAACATCAAACCATTTTAACAAACAACAAGGGAATTGACATCTTTCACTTCTCCTCTGTGTCACCTCCCTGTGCCTCTGCTGCTCGTGGAGGATGGGAGAATGCCAGAGGATTGGAGTTCCTGGTCTCTGCTGGAAGTGGGATTGCTCTTCTCACCAGCCAGTTTTTATACATGGGCCTTCCTTCCTTCTTCATTTCAAAGTCCCTTGGCTTGATTTTTTTGTAATAAACTCACCTCCATTTGAAAGACTCTGAAAACTTACAAACATGTCAGCTCTCTTACAAAAGCAGGAAAAATATATTGTGAGATAAAAATCAAGATAGTATTGGAAAGGTCACTTGCTCTTCCTGTTTGTTGGATAGTTGAAGTTAGAGGTACAGAGAGAATTCTTTCAGAGTTCTTAACTCTGGATTTGAGTCCTAGCTCTGCTGTTTATGACCAAGTAATCTTGGGTGCTAATCATGCAACCTTATTGAGTCTAACTTTAAAAAAAAATATGGATTTGGTGTCCTAAACCTACTTATTCCCTTGCTCCTGAGCATTTGGAGTCTAAATTATCCATATGGGGGTCACAAGTTCTCTTGTTGTTTGACTCCAAAAACTTTAGGACAGGAATGCAGTGCCTATTTAGCTTAACTTCTTCTCTACTTATCATAGTTGAACATCCCAAGTTTCCCATTGTTCTTCATTTTACTTCCTTCTTCTAAAACTAAACTTAGGTGTAAGTCTAGATCACACTACTCTCAGTCTCCACATCTTTTTTACTGTCCCTTCGGAATTTTTCATCACATTGTCAACTACTTGCCCAGTGTCTGTCTTTCCTGTTAGGCTGGAGGCATAATGAGGAAAAAACCCAGCGTGTATTGTTCCCCATCGTATTTCTAGCACTTGGTGCTTAAAACGTAGTAGTCAGTCAGTACCCATTGCCTGAATGAATGAATGAATAATTTTAGAAATGAAAGACAGAAAAATATGAAGCCCCAAAAGCGTGAACAGACTGACTGAAATTTTTAAAAACTACTTAACGTTGACTGCTTTTATTATTTACAGACCACTAGGAGTGATTATCATATTCACTTAGCAGGACTGTGACTCTGGCTGCTTTGATGAAAATCTTAAAGAGATGAGGGAATATTTGTCTCAGTACTCTTGACTTTCTGTCTGACTGTCACTGATCTCTGTGGGTCTCTAGAGTCACTTAAAGTTCAGAGCACAGTCTACATCTGGTTATCCCTCTGCTACCTGAAGGCCAACTTGGTGACATCTTTAGCATCCTTTTGCCCCAGGTACAGTTTCATAGAGGCCTCAGTCTGATTACTAACAACCTTAGTGATTCAAAGTTAGTTTACCTTAATGACCTATTTATGCCAACTGAGGTCATTAACTCTCCTTTGTGATGAGGTTTGGGTTGGTAATAAGCCATCTGTCTCACATGTGAACTATTTAAGGAAGTATATTGGGTAAGCGTCTATGCTGTGCTAATGTGTTCAAGTTACTGTTCTGGTTGCAAGGAATTAGTGATCCTCCTGTATTCTAGTAAGGACAATTACAAAATCTATACGCACTCCCACTGGGGTTCTTTGAACATTTTTTCATCCAGTGTCCTTCAAGCACCTGCCATGCATAGGTACTATAGGAATACCAGACACCATCCCATAGTCCTGCCCCCAGAGTGCCTGTCCTGCTGTCTACTCAGGACCGTGGTGGTTCAGTCGACCGACTGTTGGGACACTGTTGATGGATGTTACGCTAAAAGCAGCCTAGTAGACTCTGGAGCACAAGCAAGGAGTACACAAGACTCGGGAAAGGGAAACCACCTCAAAGGAATGTCCCTATGGAGCAAGTAAGATTTTATCTTTTGCTATTTTCTTAACCCATGCTGACTGAGTTTTATCTTCCATTACCAAGCAGCTTGTTTGGATATTTTCTTAAGTCCTTTCCTAAGAGGGGTTCTGATATTAATTGTTGAAACTTTGCTTTAATCGACTACTTCTTATTACTAACTTCTGTGATTCAAAGAGAGGATTTCAGTTGGGCCTGAATAAAGAAACTCTTGAGTGTGAGTGAAAGTGTGTGTTTGTGTGTGTGTCCAGGTATGCACTTATATGCACTTAGGGTATCAAACCATGGCAAAATATGGAGGAAGACGCATGCGTTTTTTGAATAATGATAGGCTAATTGGTATGGAGAAGAATATTCAGATGTACCTGAAGATAGATACAGTTTTAAAGGTCAATCTGAGTTGGCTCCTTCAGAGCTTTAACTATTAGACTTCAGAGTTTG